TGATGTGTTGTGAGATTGTTAACCATTGTCATAGGGCAACATTTGTAGTAACTGTTAAATGAGGAACTATTTTTTTCTGTAAGCCTTCATCTTAAGTGAGAATAGCAGCACAATTGGAAGAGCACAGTCAATGTCACTGAACTGTGCATGTAGACATTTTTGAAATGGTGTATCTTTGGCTATGTGTATTTTCACCAAAAAAAAAGTTGAGAAGTTAGAGTGTGGACTTGTTGTGGGGTGGTTAACCAATGTCATAAAACAATATGTGTACTACTGTTTCATGAGAAACTATTTTTTCTGTAAGCTTTCACCTGAAGTACAATAAAAAAAACAAGAATTAAAAAAAAAAAAGAGCTGGACAGAAGATGTCAAAGGGCAGCTCATGAAGACAAAGTAAAGTATTAAATAAAGAGTGCAAAGAGCTGAAGTTAGAAAACCAAAAGGAAAGAACATGCTGAGCATTTCTAAAACTGAAAGAACTGAAGAAAAAAATTCAATCCTCGAGTTGCAAGATTGAAGGATTCTACGGGGAAAATATTGAGCGACTCAGGAAGCATCAAAAGAAGATGGAAGGAATACACAGTCTTTGTACAAAAAAGAATTCTTTGACGTTCATCCATTTCAAAAGGTAGCATGTGATCAATAACCAATGGTATTAAAGGAAGAAGCGGAAGCTGCACTGAAGTCATTGGCAAAAAGCAAGACTCCAGAAACTGACAGAATACCAATTGAGATGTTTCAACAAATGGATGCAGCTCTGGAGGCACTCACTTATCAATGTGAAGAAATTTGGAAGACATTTGCCTGGCCAATTGACTGGAAGAGATCCATATTTGTGCCCATTCCAAAGAAAGATGATCCAACAGAATGCAGAAATTATCAAACAACATCATTAATATCACACACAAGTAAAATTTTGCTGAAGATCTTTCAAAAACAGTTGCAGCAGTACACTGACAGGGAACTGCCAGAAGTTCAAGCTGGATTCAGCAGAGGTCATGGAACGAGGGATATCATTGCTGATGTTAGATGGATCTTGGTTGAAAGCAGAGAATACCAGAAAGATGTTTATTGTGTTTTAGTGACTCTGCAAAGGCATTTGACTATGTGGATCATAACAAATTATGGATAATATTGTAAATAATGGGAATTCCAGAACACTTAATTGTGCTCATGAGGATCTTGTACATAGACAAAGATGCAGTCGTTGGAACAGAACAAGTGGATACTGTATGGTTTAAAATCAGGAAAGGTGTGCATTAGGGTTATGTCTTTTTACCATACTTGTTCAATCTGTATGCTGAGTAAATGATCCAAGAACCTGGACTATATGAAGAAGAACGGGGCATCAGAATTAGAGAAAGACTTATTAACAACCTACGATATGCAGATGACACAACCTTACTTGCTGAAAGTGAAGAGGACTTGAAACACTTACCTATGAAGATCAAAGACTACAGCCTTCAGTATGGCTTACTTCTCAACATAGAGAAAACAAAAAAGTCCTCACAATTAGACCAATAAGCAATATCATGATAAATGGAGAAAATATTGAAATTGTCAAGGACTGCATTTTACTTGGATCCACAGTAATGCCCATTGAAGCAACAGTCAAGAAATCAAAGGATGTAGTGTATGGGGGAAATCTGCTGTAAAAGATCTCTTTTAAGTGTTAAAAAACAATGAGGTCACTTTTGAGACTAAGGTATGCCTTACCCAAGCCATAGTATTTTCAATTGCCTCATATGCATGCCAAAACTGGACAAAGAATAAGGAAGACCTATGAAGAATTGATACCTTTAAACTATGATGCTGTTGAAAAATATTAAATATGCCATGGACTGCCAGATGAAAGAACAAATCTGTTTTGGAAGAAGTAACAGCTAGAATACTCCTCGGAAGCAAGGATGGCAAGACTTCATCTCATGTAGTTTGGACAGGTTATCAGGAAGAACCAGTCCCTGGAGAAGGTCATCATGCTTGGTAAAGTAGTGGCTCAATGAAAAAGAGGAAGACCTTCAACGAGATGGTTTGACACAGTGGCTGCAACAGTTAGCTCAAGTGTGACAACACTTGTGAGGATGGTGTGTGACCAGGCAGTGTTTCATTCTATTGTATATAGGGTAGCTATAATTCAGAACCGACTTGAGGGCACCTAACAACAACAACAACAACATATTACAGAAAGTATTAATAGTACACAGATCTGGTGATTTCTTTGATCAAATCCAACCTTCCAATTTTCAGCAAAATCAACAGTACACCTATTAGCAAATATGAAAACTTAGCTCTGCCCTTCTTATAAAGATTTCAGTGTTCATTTATCAGTTATTCCACAGATCGAGAACATGGAGAACTGAGAAAATAACCTCATTATTTAATTGTCAAAAAATGATAGTAAAAATGTTAATATGAACACTTTTTCATAATCAAGCTTACACATTTAGTATGTTTTATTCTACCTTTCAGGAGTCCTTGGGTAGAGCAGTTTGAATCCACCCAGAGGTGCCTGGGAAGAAATTTCTGGTGTTCCATTTCAGAAACATCATAGCCATTGAAAACCCTACGATGAGCATTCCTAGTTTGAATCGACTTAATGACACTTTTATTTCTTTCTTCCTTCCTTTTTTAATTCTATCTTGAATCAATATGACTCTTTCATAGCAATTGTAGGTCTACAGATTTGTAGGACCTTGGTTTATTGTAGTGCTCTTTAAATTTCAGGCATAGTAAATTCAGTCAGACTAAGTGTAGTTAATGATTCTCTCCCCTCTAACTCCTCACAATTTCTTCTTTTCTAAACAGCCATTACACTTACAGTCTGCACAGGCCTCCTTAGATTTTGTTTACATATTGCCATTTATCCCTTCTGTGACTGTAGAAAGCTGTGACCACAAGGGGCCTTAGTAGATGTGTAATTAATTTTTTTATCTACCTTCAATTTCTCTGTATTCTACTTTCCAAATATTGGTATGGTCCATGCTAGAACACCCCTAATTATGCAAGAATTATGTTCTAATGCCTACTTTTGATCATCTGAGGAATTCTAATCATTGTGACGATTTCAAATGACCCTTAGTGCTCAGTATTTTTCTTTTTAGCATTGAATTGAATCTTTAATACATGTTAGATATTGGTGATGACTAAAGTTATTGAGATAGGTTCAGCCTTCAAAAATTTTACAAGACAGCAACATAGTAGAATACACAAGGGCATGTCTACAGTTGGGTAAGTATTTGCTATTAAACTGGATTGTCTTGGTAACAGACTAATCAACGTAAAATTCTGCCTAGAGGAATCCCACTTAAGGATCATAGAAGGGATGACATTTGCTCCTTAAAGCTTGGCGAGTTATCAGGAGGGACCAGTCCCTGGAGAAGGATATCATGCTTAGTAGAGGGTCAATGGAAGAGAAGACAACCCTCAATGAAATGGATTGACACAGTGGCTGCAACGATGTGCTCAAGCATACCAACCATTGTGAGGATGGCACAGGATCAGGCGGTGGGTCATTTTGTTGTACATAGGGTCTCTATGATTTGGAACCAACTAGACAGCACCTAACAACAACAATAAAATATGGAGAAAAGGATAATTTTTGACACAAAAAATAGTTAAGATGCAGTCATCCTGTTTTCATCTTTTGGTTTAGGTTTTATTTTCCAGGCCAACACAGGGCAAATTCTGTGCAAGGCAGTCCTTCAGAAATTTGTGAATAATTATTTTGCCCTATTCTCCCTCTCTCTTCTTCTCCATTCCCATGTCTTTAGATGCCTATATTCTGTTTTGTGGACAATCCCAATCATTAGTGAACCATCACATCATTTAATATTTCTTTTTGCTAGTCTACATGTTCCTAGCTTGTTCAAGATTTCCTCAAATAAAATGACTTTGAATATCTTCAATAAAATCACCAAGTTAAAACATAGTTTTTCTATACAAAGTTTAGATATGTTACCCAAAATTGAGTTCATATTCCATGAATTGTCTGATCATGTGAAAAAAAAAATCAAAACTATCATTTTTATTCCAAAAACTATACTACTGATGTAGGAAGAGTGATTTAGATTTTTTTCTTCATCTACATAACATTACCTATACATACTTCATTTAGTCTCAAATGAAATCCACTAGTTATTCCAATAGTAAAGACTTGTGCAAAAAATTTAAAGTTTATTATCCATACTATATTTATAGTATTTTATATTCCAAACGTGTTTCATATCCTATTGATGGGCAGACATCAGTGATTCAAAAACTAGTGTTCATGTTTAAGTGATTGAGACAGAAAATCACAGCCTGTACCAAAGCTTTTTATACTCCCACCACATTCTAGTTCCAACCTCATGGAGTAATTTCTTAGCTCCTTTTTCCCTGAGTAAATCAAGTTTTACATTTCAAGATTTACAATTTCCAGGTTTACGTGAGATCAGAACTGCCTCTAAGAATTAAGTAAAATAAAATTTATTTTTATAAATACTAGTTTATTTCATAAAAATATACATTTATAAAAATATGAATGAATTAACACAAAGACATTCTTCAACTAAATAAATATGGCAGTAATAATCATTCCTACTTCTTTAGGGATACATTTTTTCCATTTTAGTTTACAAAGCAGTTGCACAACATTTCATTTAATAGGAAAGGTGACTATAAGTCAATTAGGAAAACATTTATAAAGTTTTATCTAAGAAAAGGCACAAAAAGCCTTCTAAGTATTTTTATTGATTATTCATGTGATATACCTTCATTCAGAGATTGTTAGGCAAAGAGGGTGAACTGGTTATTATTATTATTTTTTAATCTATGTCATTCGTATTCATTCACAGAAACTTACTGATTAAGGAAACCCTTACTAAGACAACACCTACGTATTGTTTGTGATTTCGATTTTGTTTTATTTCCTCCCAGAAAGAGAATGCAGGCCACTCAGTCTAGTAGTAAAGACAGTACTTCCACTAATATTGGTCAAGTCATACAATACTATTAGTCTCGGTCACTGTCATCACCCCCATACATATCTGCCAATTTTTTAAAACGAGGTCCCCAGTCACTGAGGTAATCATAATCTTGGTTACAATCTGCTGTGAGAGATTCCAAAGAACTGAGTGAATCTGCTATGGAGTCATTCCCTTCATAGGCATAGGTTGCCAGTGAATCATAAGGAGGTGCACTTGGGTCTGAATCGTTTTCTTTTAATCTTCGATGGATAAAATCTTGCACGTCAATATTTTCCCACAGAGGCACAGTCCTCCTTATCTGAAAAATAGTTTCAGGCATTACATCCCTTCTAAGTTTACTGTCTTCTCTTGCTTCAGGATTCCTTAGTGTGCCGATGTCAAAAGCTTGAGTATCTTCTTCCCCGCCCCCTTCATCATTGTAAGTCACAATGTTGTCCCTGACATCATCTTTTGAAATTATCAGAGGCTCCTTTTTTCTTCGTCTCTTCAATGCAGCAAACAGCACAACTAAAACTATCAACAAAACAACACAAACAATCAAAAAAAAAAAAAAAAGAGAAAAATAGTGAGATTCCGTTATACACAATTAAATATGTTATACTTCTGTGAAAGACTTCTGTGAATAAAGTTTATGGGGTGTAGGCAGTGTTATGGTTACTGCGGATGAAAAGAGTAACTATCTTACACAAATACAGACTGCGGTGGGCCAATGATTGTATGCATTGTATTGATAATGAAACAGACATCACAATGTCATTAATTTACTTTCAAGACTCACTCTCCTATGGAGCTAAGACTGAGATACTTTATTCAGTCATGGCTTTTGATTTTATTCAACTGAAGTTCCTTGACCCTTCTCTCTTCCCAAATGTACATTTGTTTCCAAACATTTAAATGCTGATATTATCCCAAGAGAAATTGGGCTCCAACTGAATATTTTCTAAATGACTCTATGAGATGTACGTGACCTCATAGAGTAAAACCCACAAAAGCCAGAACGTGTATAAGGCAGAAACCTGTCAGAGAAGGAAAACTCAAATATTTTCCACTAAAACCAGTGATAGAAAAGTGGTAAGACTGCACTCTGCCAAAGGCGAAAAACTTTCGAGACACAGAAAAACAAGGCAATCCTGTCTAGTTCCAGCTTTCACAGGTTTCACTGTATATGATGAGTTATGCTCAGAATCATCTTGGAGACTTTTTAAAACTTTTTGGTAAAAATGAGTTAAGTCTGTACTCTCTCTCTTATTAAAAGATGAACATAAAATTAATTAAGGCCAACATAGGTCTTAAATATATCACATTTATACCACGAAGTAGAAAAAGTGAAAAGTGGGTTCTTACTAAATATAATTTTGAATGAATTAATTTTAAGTACTTTATTTTTTATAAGTAAAATAAAAACCCTAAAGTGCCATTATTTTGTTAAGGTGTGCTTAGCAATTATAGTCTTTACTAACTCTCACAAATGAACCTTAGAATATATTCTGAGTTGTTTCTCCAGAGGTAGGTCAAAATTAACTGCTTCATTTCTCTAGACTGGAGTTCTTTATCTAGGATACGTGAATAAAATTCATTGAGACCAGGATAAGGAGTGGAGAAAAATACATCATATTTTTAGTAATTTGTAACTGAAATTTAGCATTTCCTTTCATTTTGAATATAGGCATCAAAGTGTGACTTATAACAGTACATATGACTATTAAACTAATAGAAAACACTGATGTATCTGTCATGAGAGATATCTCAAACCATCATTTTGTGCAACATTTGCCTTGCCTCTAGAACATGGCATTTATACCTTAATAAACAAGCACATTTTTTTTGTTTTGTTTAATTGAAATAACTATATTTATATTTTCTCATATATATTCTATTTTTATGAATTTAAATTATTTTTCTGAGAAGGAGGTACATAAACTTCATGAACCACCAAAGAATAAAAAGCTTAAAAGCCCTGACCTAAGCTTTAACCCACACTTCAACTTATAACAGGTACAAACTAGAAACTGCATTAAACAGGAACAGGGTAACCTGCTTCCATCCAGTTGATTCCGACTCATAGCAACCCTATAGGGCAGAGTAGAAATGATCCATAGGGTTTCCAAGGAGCAGCTGGTGGATTCGGACTACTGACCTTTTAGTTAGCAATCGAGCACTTAACCACTGCACCACCAGGGCTCCTGGAACAGGGTAGCTCTAAAATATTGCCCGTGCTATTTCACTAACTATCTTGCAAAGAGCAGATTCTCTTAACTATAGAACTGCAGAAACTATTTCTAGCCATTAGTATAAGGACTCACAATAAGATCAAGGGCATCTTAGTAATTTTTGATAATAAAATCCTTTGAATTACAACGAAATTTAACAAAAATAATAGAAAATAACTCTACATTTGGGCAATGAGATGGGAAGGTAAAAAAATCGGAAATGTGTGCCTTCAAAATTGCTCAGTACAAAAAGCTGGCAAACTTTTCAAAACAAGCCTCCTAGAATTCCTGCATAGAGAAAAAGTTTAGAGAATTCAGTTTGCTAACGTTATCTTTTATTTTTTTCTTGTGGGAGGCATGCTTCTTTCCACCCATGTATGTCTGCTTATGTGTGTGTACTACAGTAATGTAGAAATAAAAAAATCAATTGCAACATACTTGTTTTCATATTGTTCTAAATTAAGAAAATAGAACTGTCTGAACAAACAGTATGAAATCTGTAGCATTTAGCTCAAAGAATAAGCCAAATTTGAATCTCCATGGGGATACAAAAATATTTTACAGAAGAGTCGAACATTCTAGCAGCAGGTGGAGGTGGGGACCGCTGATGGTGATGGCAGTGGTGTGTGTGTTCTAAATGACCCTGGAAAAAATGTTTTTCTAAATAGTTGGATCATTTCAACTGAGACAATTTTTTCCCCTCACTTTTATCAATCCCTCACTGAAGTCCTGTAAGGATATCTGGCCAAAGGGATTTCATCCAGATCGCTTGAAAGGATTTGCAGTGAAAAGGAGCGAGAACATATGAGCATTAGAACATAAATTTGGCTAGCTTTCCTGTCCTAAGCATAAGCATTTTTGGATGAATATTTGATAGAAACAATTTTTTGGAGTGTTTTATAATGGAACAACTGTTTAATTGAATTAAATAGTTGTCCTGTTAGGGTATGCGCAATAAAACATTTCCTACTGGAAGCATGACTTTACTTTAAAAATATTGCAGGGCTAGGTATGACCACAGTGCCGTAGTGACATTTTGAAAACTAAACTTTCATTTTTGAATTTGATGTATTGTACCTATACATAATAATCGCTACCAAAAAAAATGAAAAAAAATTATATTTTCATGACAACTTTAATTGATCTGTCATTTAGATATTTGATTTACATAATTTAGTGTTTTTTGGTATTTTGCATGTAAAGATAAAGAAGTCTTTGGTTTTGAGAATAATGGAGAATTCTTAAGTAGAACAGTCTAGGTAGAGCTAAGGCACTTTCTAAATGAGTGATTTCTGACAAATTATTTAGCTTTTCTATATAAAAATAAAAGTTTTTATCTTATAGAGTTAATATGAATATTGAATCAATTATTAGAGCCAACGGCTTTTAGAACAGTCATCATGGTTACATAGCACTAAACACTATAAATATAAAACATATTTTAAAAGAATATTTTAAAATATTATACATATAAAATACCAAATCCATTGCCATTGAGTTGATTCCAACTCAAAGTGACCCTATAGGACAGAGTAGAACTGCCCCATAGGGTTTCCAAGGAGCAGCTGGTGGATTCAAACTGACAGTCTTTTGGTTAGCAGCTGGGCTGTTAACCACTGCACCACGGCTCCTTTAACACTACTCATTATTTCTTGGGTTTTGATCTCTAGAAAGCTAAACCTATCTCCACGGGGGACACACACGCACACCTATGTGCGTGTGTGTGTGTGTGTGTGTGATCAAAAGAAAAAAGAAACACCAAACCTGTTGCCATGGAGTCGATTCTAACTCATTTCCACCCTACAGGACAGAGTAGAACTGCCCCCTAGGGTTTCCCAGAAGCGGCTGGTGAATTCAAACTGCCGACCTTTTGCTTAGCAGCCGAGTCCGTAACCACTGCACCACCAGGGCTCCATATAAATGTGCATATATATATAGACATCTTTTTATTCCAGTTGAAAGAACAATTTTATGAACAAGTTAAAATTTTGCAATTTTGAGCTAAAGAGAAGAGTGCTATTCAGTGTACAATCACTGGGCAAAGAGGGAGTGCATTTTGTAAGTTAAACGAGCATTGAGAGCGGCATTGCTTACTCAACAGTATGAGGACACATAGAAGAATGGCAGTGAGAGCCCCCGTGCTCAGGCCAGCCGAGAGGATCAAAGCCTCTGCATTGCAGGATTGCATGTTCCCCTGATTGTCGCAGGCACACACTCGAATGGTAAGCGTGCCAGTGCTGCTTTGAATCGGATAATCGTTGTCAGAGATTAAAATTGGCAATAGATAGGTGCTAATTTTGTTGCGGCTATATCCATCTTTCCGAGTCATAATTCCTGCTGTATTATCTGGGGGAAAAGAAAGGCAAAAGCACACTCAGACCAGTTTGTAATTTTATATTTGAAGGTCTCATACATTTCACTTTTAAAGATGTGCTCTACCTTTATTGTCTACGATGGTGAAGTTCGGATTGAGAGGGAATTCTGGCACTGGTTCAAAGAAGAATTTGTGGCCTCGGGGAGGATCATCCTTGTCCATGACACTGACAGTCTGAATCAACTGGAACCAATAATCAATTAAGAAAACAAAACACACAAACAGAAACAGTAAATGTATTACTGAAATTTAAAAAAAAAATTGCTTTTCTAAAAATCATGTAAAGGTTTGTAATGATTCTGTCAAATGTAATTTATTTAAATAAGAATGAAAAATGTTCATTGATTGTTAGTTTGTAGGGCATCACTATGCATCACTGTCATTTTCCCTGCCATTGGCATATACATAGTTAAAGAAAAATATGATCACTTCCACGTCTATCCTCCTTTACCATTTTTATAAAGCGCCACCACTAAGCAGCACCCGTTGCTGTCCTGTTTATTCTGACTCATAGCGACCTCGTGTGTTTCAGAATAGAACTGCACTCTGTAGGGTTTTTGATGGCTATGATCTTGTAGCAGCAGATTACTAGAACTTTCTTCCCAGGCAACTCTGGGTAGATTCTAATCTCTAATCTTTCGGTTGATAGCTGAACACTTAACCATTTGTGCTACCCAGATACCCCAAGATAGAGTACTACTCTATTATAAATTAGTACCAATTTCTTGACTCTACTTGAGGACAATTTTCTCAAAGACCAAGAAAATAACTAATATATATATATATATATATATTTTTTTTTACACAAGTGCTAAGCACGGTCACACCCACAAATTAAGAATGCTATTAACTCATTTTTAGAAAAAAAGAACAATTTATCATATATCAGAAAGCAACAGATTTTAAAGGTAGAGACCACATTACTATTATTCTATATATTTTATTAAAATTGCTCGCTTTTCTTTGAATAGCATTTAAAAAGTTTAGGTAATTGTATAAATAAATGGTTTTAAAGATTTGTAAAAACATTATCAAAGTTTAGAAATTGCAGCACCTCTTGGCTGTCCTTAATATAGGTCAGAAGTGTGCCCTAGTGTAAGAAGGAACAGCAAATAACAGACTGTGCAGAATATTTCCATTTTATTTTGGAAAAAGCACGAAGCTACCCACCAAGGGTGCCTGTTTTTCTAGTCCTGGATCTGCCATTTGTGTGATTTGAAATTGCAGTCATTTAATTACCTTTACTTTCAGATTTCTCTTCCAAAAAAATAAACAGTTGCACCACTTCCAGTTATAATCTTCCAACATTCTGTGATGAGCAATTATTTGAAATTCACAGTACTTTAATCTAGCCATTGTCTTGGTTACTGAATCCCTTCTATAACCATACCACTCTGCATACTCACCAGGCAATGCTTTTACTCTTTAATTTGATATTTAATATTTCATTCATTTTATTGACAGAGTGACACATAACCACATGTTTCTTTACAAACACTTCTGAAAGTACATGGTTATTAATATGAATTTAATACACTCTTAAAAATTGGAGCATAACAAAAGAAAAAATGTATATAAAATCTAATATCCTTGCTCATTTACCACCTCATTCTAAGTAGCAAATAACAAATCTAATTTTAGTAATATTTTAAATCATAAGCAATATTTTTTCTTTGATTATAACACTCTGGATTCTTGAAGAGATTATATAGGCCATTGTTCAACCATGTTTTAAGAGAGTGTATATTAGTTGCTTAAAATACATAGTTTTTTTAATCTCGGTTCATTTTAACAGAAACATTGAATTTTTGGCATAGAAATTTTAATAGTAATATCACAGACTATAGTCATTATAATTACATAATATCAATGATAATTTATTATAAAATATTATACTACAAATGTAATATATCAAGAACTTACATGAATTAATAAAGGATCAGCATACTAATAGACAAATGGTCAAATAATACATACATAGGCTATAAAGATTTTTTTTAAATGGCCACATTTTATGAAAAACAATGTTTAACCTCAATAATCTGGGAGGAATTCACCTTAAAATTATTATGAGATATTTGCGTATTTACAGATATTTAAAACTAAGTGTTGTCCAAGTAAATAGGCTGTCATGTATATTTGGTGGGAGTATCACTTTTTATGTCACATATTTGGAGAGTTACTTGGCAGCATCTATCAGTAATTATGGATGAAATTTATTTATTCCCCCTTGATATCAAAGGAAAATAATGCCAGGTAGTATATGAATATAAATGTACTCTAATTCTCATCACAATCCTGTAGGTTATAGTAATATTTTGTTGGAAAATAAAATGCTTTTAATAGGAAGATAGTTGAATAAACTATAGTTATGCTATGAAACTTAAGCATCAAATTAAAAATAATCATTTACTGAACTGAGAAGATGTTCATTACCTGTTATAAAGTGGGGATATTTTTGTTTTTTTTGTCCCAGTAGCTAGGTAATGATTCTATATTGGTAAAATAAAAATAAAAATAAAAAATCTCAGTTGTGTATTTGTGTATGAGAATGGTGTGTGGTATGTATCTCTTTGGCAATAGCAGAAAAGCTGTATTTATTTTTTATATTTAAAAAGACGTGATGGGATTATAGGTGACTCTTACTATTTGCCTACATTTTTACCTAAAAAATCTAAATAACTAGTTAAAATTTCTTTTGTCAAAAAGTATTTTAGTGATATCCAGAATATTACTTTATAAAGGGATCTTGTAACTATTTTATAAATATACCTTTTAGTCTAATAACATGAAAATTAAGAGAAAAGCACAAAATATATCCAAGTGTTCTGACAGTCATTAGATGCAGCAAAATGTAATCAACAAAATAGTGATGCCCTTTATATTAGCAGAGAGCAATTTGTATTTGCTTCATGTGTTATTTAATAATTTATATCCATTCTATTCATGAATATAACTCAGCATCAGCTTAATAATTAATAATCTGACTTTTTACATTTGTGATATCTGTTATATACCCAGTGTGTAAATTAAAGCATGTAATGTGATTTCCCCTTTTGTATCATAGATTCCATAACAAAATAAGTTTAAAAAAATATTTTGTTTTGTTTTTAAATCACTACAAGTTCTTTGATAAGGGGAGATAAAGAAGTAGCAAGGATGAATGATAATAGTCTGCATAGAAAAAGTAGTGAAAATAAATTAATGCAATCACATCTGATTTTCAGGGAGAAAATTTCAAGCAAGTTTATAATAATTTTATTTACCTGCCCAGGTTTTGCATTTTCACAAACAAATGTTTCATAGTAGGTGGCAAATTCCGGTGCATGGTCATTGATATCTAAAATTCTGATGAAGACAGGAATGTGGCTACTTTGTTTTGGGTTATCTGCAATGAGAACATATGTAAAATTTCAGCCTCATTTATAGAGAAGCAGTGATGCCACTCGCCTCATTTGTAACTTAGCAACGGATCGTTTCTGTGGTATTCACCTTCTGGATTGGATTGTTTATGAATATCTCAGTTTGCTTACATGGTGCAAATAGAAGGCAACAATAAAAAAAGCAGCATATGATTGAGAACAAAGTATTAGTTATAGTAGATAATTTCCTTAGGCCAAATAAGTTTATTTGTATGAAGATAAGTTATATTTCTATCTTAGAGTAAGGTGTAAAAAAGAATCAAGTTTAAAACAAATGAATAATTTGATAATCATTAAAGTAATATAAATATCTAACACACTCTGAATTGTTTCTTTCAGATTTTCCTAATGATAAAATTATCTCTCAAGGAAAAGAGTCTACTTAATGCCATGTTTTCACCACTTTAGTGAAAGATAATGTGTTCAGATGGGTTTATCTCCAACTTACTTATTTCTGTGGCTGTAATTGTGATGTTGTGCCAAGGGGATGATTCCCGGTCAAGGGGCTTCAAAGTGAAAATAGAACCATTTTCTGAGTGGATACTAAAAATCCAGTCCATATCAGTGTGCCGGTCCACAGTGTATCTGGCAGAAAACAGATGCATAAGTCCTAGCACTGTTTATGATCATTAGTTCTTCCATTATTCCTTAAATTTTAGGCAATTCACACAATGAGCTGACAAAGACGTAATCTGTAAGATGCTAATAACTTTCTTGCATTTTTTAAAACAATTTTCATTTAAACAATTTGCTATATTTAACCGCTTCCATTGTTACTATTCTATAATTACGTACAGTTTAGTCATTACTTATACTCAAGAGTCCTTGTGGCAGCTTTTAAGTGAGCTTTTAAATCACGTTTGATTCACTTATCCTATCATAGGACTATTGCAGTGCTTAAGACATATTAAAAAGTCAGTAATTACTTGATAGAGTCCAAACAGCATTGAATAAATGGAAATTATGTAAAACAACAACAAAACATAAGAAAGTGTGTCCAGAGTCCTCTATGAATATAAGCACATACAGAGAGGGTATTATAAAATACATTGCGCTTGAATGAAGTACTACTCAGAGAACATCTCAGCTAAATCAAAGATTTTCCTCCAGTCTATTCCTCCAGCTTATTCTAAATAAAAAACGAAATGATATCTTATCAGAGATTTATGTGACTTGTTCTCATCAGGGTTGGATATGAAATCATTTACTTGAAACTTTTTATCCCTCTACAGAAGACAGAATAATGCTCCCTCCCCCGAAGATGTCCACACCCTAATAAGCAGAACCTAGGAACATTTTACTTTGCATGGCAAAAGTAACTTTGCAGATGTGATTAAGGTTAAGAACATTGAGATGGGAGATTATCCTTGATTACCATGATAGCCTCAATCGAATCATATGAGTCATTAAAAGTGAAAGAGGAAGGCAGAAAAGTGGATCAGAGAAATCTGACAGAAGAAAAAAAGAGGAGAGGTTTCAAGTGTGAGAAAGACTTAACCCACCACTGGTGGCATTGAAGATGGAGAAAGAGGCCACCAGCCAAAAATTGAAGGTAGCCCCTAAAAACTGGGGATGATCCTTCAGCTCATAGTCAGCAAGGAAACAGGGACCTCAGTCCTACAAGGGCAAGAAACTCAGATGACCACGCAAACTGAATGGGCAAGGAAACTATTTTCTAGAGACATCAGATAGCAAGACCTTGATTTTTAACACAGTGAGAATGTTACTGAAATTCTGACCTAAAAGACTATAATATAACAAATCTGTGTCATTTTAAAAACTAAGTTTATGGAAATTTGTTATGGCAGCAACAGAGAACTAATATACTCTCAAAAGAGAGATATGTTTAAAAGGCTAGCTTGCATGCAAATCCTTTAGTTACATCAGTCCACATGATGCAGTGCTAGCCATCATTTTTACGTCTGACTTTCTGTTATAGATTCTTTAATGGAGCTATATAAGAAAGTGAGTGCTTCTTACATATTAATGATCATATGTATAGGCTGAGAATCTTGTTAAAAATGAGATTCTGATTCAGTTAATTGGTGTGGGAGTCAGGATTCTGTATTTCTAACAAACTCTTTGGTCAAGCCCATGTTTTAAGTCCATGGACTAAGCTTTGTGTAGCTAAGGCTTTAGACCATGGGATAAAGTGGTTGGACTAAGGCCAGAAAAAGGAGGAGCAATGAAGGACAGCAAGCAGACTAACCAGTATCTGGTGTATTTTTCACTTTTCTAGATATCATGTTAAAGGCTATCGGCAAATGTTTTTTTGGGGAGCTGAAAAATTATAGCTCCCAGTAAAAATCTGTAATATACTCACTTCTGGCACTGGCTTTAACAAATATAAGTAAAAGGTATTTCATTTAACACTGTGAAATATTGACTTCTTTTGTAATATTGGATGAAAATATATTTATCTAGATTTTAGAGTTCATTTTTTGGGGTTGTTTTTAATAAAGGATATGTGAATATGTGAGCTGATCTATCATTGTAAAAAATATGCTGAATTTAAGAAATATAATCTGAACCCTCCTACAATTTAGTAACTAATGTAGAATTTATTTATATTGGTACAAATATCTTTTGTAATATATTTGAGAGAGAAACACTGAAAGTTACTAAAACAAAAAAAGTTTTATTTTCTCTACATACATCAATTTCTGCTTATGAATGAAAACAAACTTAAAATGAACAAAAAGAAAGCAAACATAACTCAACCATATCTATGAGTTTAATGGAACACACTTCACAATTACCGAAAAAACCAAACCCATTGCTGTTGAGTTGATTCCAACTCATAGAGACCCTATAGGACAGAGTAGAACTGCCCTATAGGGTCTCCAAGGAGTGGCTGGTGGATTTGAACTGCTGACCTTTTGGTTAGCAGCCAAGCTAACCAATGTGTACCAAGGTTCCACACTTCACAATATTCTCTTGTAAATATTCCTCTGCGTTGTTGGAAAGGTCAATAATTAACCATTATCTTCTTATGGCTGAATAGATTTTGGATTTCTTCCTACTGTTTGCATTGAACAAGAAGGAAAATAAAAATATATTTTGTCACATTTTGCTACTTGTCCTAAATATTATTAGTATGGGGATTTATAAGACTGAGGAATAATTAACAATTCTAACATCCACGCTCAGGTTTGATTCATTTGGAGCTTATGTGGGATCAAAATAAGTCACAGTTTCTGGATGACCTAGTCTTATGTTCAACCTTGAAAGACATTAATTTTCCAATTAAAAATTTAGAAAGAAGAATCACTTTGATGACTTATAAATAGTTCACTTAACTCGAAAATTGCAAACATCCAGGTCTGTATTCAGAAATCTTGCCCTAGTGCAAATGATGCTTTATAATTTGTCAAGGCCCACAGAAAATTTTCATTTATTTAGCAGACAGAGTTCTATTTTCAACACAGAATAGGATGTTCTGGTTTACCTATTAATAGTAAATACATTGAATTACAACAAATGACCAGAGATAGCCTGATAAATACTTAACCCAAGAACAAAGCTATCTTTATGTCCCGTGTGGTGACCTATTATAACAAAAATATTTTATTGATCTCCTTATATTGAATTTTGAACAATAAGTTTTTAAAAAAAAGACCACTGGCAGAATTTTTGTATGAATAGCTTCTGCAGGGAGAGGATCCAAACATACAGCCAGGATATAACAACTGGGAAAGAACACAAGAGAATTGAGCCTGTGGAAGCTGAACTCTGGTTTTGTTTGTTGTTTGCTTTTCACCTTTATGTTCTACAGTTAAGAGCCAGACACATATCAGATCCTTGTAGTTTTACTCACTATAAGTAAACATTGCAACTAAATTATGGACACCATAACAAACAAGTTATAGGCAAAAATATGTCAAAGAAAAGGTAAATATTTCTTTCCTTAACTGGATTCTAGGTACTTCTTTTTACTAACTATATAGTTAAGTTGTGGATTTGCTCTTCCTTTTCCAGTTTTTTCCCCCCATAAATATACTTTTTAGCTATGAAATCTGAAACCTTCATCCCTACTCAAAAAGAGAACCTGGCTATATAATGAAATTACTTATTTCATTTGACCAAGTAGTTCCAATATTTTTTAAGAGATAAGTGGAACTGTTTTATTATTACTATTATCATATACTATGCAATACATAACATATATATGTATATGCATATATATATATATATATATTAGGGAAACACTGCTATATATAAGTACACTTCCATGAACTAGCTTATGGTGAGATCACGTACACTTTATTGTTACATAACTAAATTTCTTGCCAGCAATTGTCTGTGTGTATGTGTGTTTTGCTTACTTTCAATTTGACAGCAGTAGAAAAGATTACTTCTAAAAAATGTTGAACTTTATATATATTGAGCATAAAAGAAGTGTGAAATGAGACAACATGTTCTTTCAGAACCTGTAAAGCTATCATCAACTCTATAACTTGGGATATCTGTGATTACTAATGAGGTGAGAGAGTTGACAACTGCTACTAATTGTAACCATAATATGTTGCAACTGGCAGATGTATTTCAGAAAATATGTTTGATGAATAAATTTACTAGTGGATAAGGATTAGTTCCCAAGCTCTCCCTTGAAAAATAGTCTTCCATGATGCTTACCATAGCCTATCTTTGCTCTGGGGACCAGCCATCCTTCTAAAATCCATCAGAGCAAACAAGAGTTTCATGTTACAACGTTGCACCTTGCTGAATTATTGCTGGCTTTTCTTTACACTATAATTGGAATCTAAAGCTTTTATTTATTTTTTCTTTTCTATTTTGCATACATTTTGTATGCTAACAGGAATCAGACCATCCCCTATGTTTTCAGGTAAGGCCTTATATATTGGCAGAATTTGCAGAATAATTCAAGGGACACAGTTTGAGATTAATTTGTTCTCTTAATATTTTCATTGTCTTTGTCATAATTCTTGAGACTTTACAGGTGAAGTTACTGTCTACTCTTCCTTCAAGGCTTGAGGACTTTATACAAATCACCTATTCTGGCATTGCTACAAACATGAAAAAAAATACCAGCCACTTTTATCCAATGGGAAGCAAGATTACAAATTTATTGTCAGTCTTTGACTCAGAAATTTTACTCTGAAAAATGTGTCCTGAGGAAATTATCAGATACAGGGGAGGATATATATATATATATATATATATATATATCAACCCGTTGCCATTGAGTCAACTCCAACTCATAGCAACCCTGTAGCACAGAGTAGAACTGTCCCATAGGGTTTCCAAGGAGCAGCTGGTGGATTCTAACTGCCAACCTTTTGATTAGCAGACAAGCTCTTAACCACTGCGCCACCAGGGCTTCTATAAATATATATACACACACATATATATATAATCTCCAAACAATCTGAATTTCCATCACTGATGTTTCTCCTATATAAGTGTGCTATTTATATAATACAAGTGTATTAAGACGTTTAATGACATTGGCAAATATTCACAATTATAAAAAACTCATGGACCTATATGTACATCACCTCAATTACATAAAAATGAGATAGAGAACACAAAAATTGTTTGTTTAAAAGTTGGAATGCTTAATGGAAATGTATCAAAATTACACTAGAATATCTATTAAGGGAAGAATTATAGATGTCTTACTTGCTACAAAATTTCCTGTGTCATCCATGATATCTAAAATAAATCACTATGATTGTATGATCAAAAAACATGTTTAAAAATAATTCTCTCAAATGTCATCTTATGGAAAGTATGAAAAAAAAGAGATGGATTTACCATCCCAACCTAAAATTAAAAAAAAAAAAAAAAACAGACAAAATATATGAAACAATGACTTTTGTAAACATTGGGCATCAGGAAACAAGGCCAGTAATCTTTAAAGAAAAGGAAAAAATGAGATGATCCCTAAAACTTTCCCAGTATGCTGCCTGGAAAGAGTTTCCAGAACACAATGCAGGAAGTGGGAAACCAGATGTGGTATGTCAATCTCCCTAAATTTAGGAGATGATGCTGAGTGTCCAGTGAGGCCAAGGTGGCTAGAGTTTTCATAGCAAAGTACTGCAGAGGACAGAGTCTCACAGAAAGAAAGAGCTACTGGAAACGGAGGAGGATCTCACTCAACTCTTCATTAAAGTACTAACCAGAACATGCATGAGAGCTGATAGCATAAAGGTATAGAAATAATCCATTAGAAGGATTGAATAAAGAAAATTACAAACTGACATGTAATCTAAAACAATTCCAGTTCCCACCAACTGGAGTGGAAAACCGCATAATTCACAGGACTTGGGGGAGACTACTCAGAAAGGTCTTGCCTCACTAATGAGACAAAACAAGTCCTAGACTAAGGACTGATGGGTTTACAGGAAATGATCTAGCAGAGTCCACTGTGACTCATGGCTACCTCATGTGTATCAGAGTCAGACTATGCTCCATAGGGTTTTCAATGACTGATTTTTAAAAGTATATCACGAGGCCTTCCTTCTGACACAACTTTGGGTCAACCCAAACTTCCAACCTTTTGGTTAGTAGTTAAATACATTAACAATCTGCACCATTTAGGGCTTCCAAATTGCAGCAAATAAAGCACAAAATAAAGATCCAAAAGAATCAAGGTATTTCATGCAACTTAACAATACTTGAGAACAAAGCTCAATAATATTTATAAAAATGCAAAGCTACCGAGTATAACATTGTAAAAGTCACAATCTCTGCCATCCAATAAAAAATTACAGACATGCAAAGAGGCAGGAAACTATGACTGCATAAAAAGGAGAAAAATATATATCAGTCAAAACCTAGCAAATAATGACATAGTTGATAGAATTAGCTGAAAATGACTAAAGAAAAAAAAACACCTATTTTAACTACATTCACTCTAAGATAGAGGAAAGAAAAAGCGTTTTAGGTAGAGTATATATATATTAAATAGAATTTCTAGACAACAAATGACAATATGTGAGAAAAAAAATACTGGATGAAATTAGCAGCATATGAAATGTATCAGAATAAAGAAGAATACACTTGATGAAGATGTTATAACAAACTATTCTAAATTACAAACAGAAAAAAAAGTTGATAAAGATAAACTTAATGTCAATGGCTGTGTTCAAGTGACCTCTTGTAATTTATTTCTCTGAAGGATATAAGAGTAGAATGAAAAATATTAAAGAGAAGCTGAAAATTTTCCAACTTTGATCCAAGCTATAAACACACATTCAAGAAGCTCAATGAACCCCAACTACAAGAGAAGCATAATATAGACGAGCACATCATAACCAAATTGCTTAAAACTAATGAGAAAAGTTTAAAAGGATCCCTATGAACAACTGAGAAATTACAGAGAGATTAAGAAAAATAAGGGCAGAATAGAATTAATACTGTACTGAAGGAAAATAAAACAAAAACTTCTTAATCTATAATTCTTACCAATGGAAAAAAAGACTGATAGTAAATAAGCCTAAAAAGGAATTGATATGGAATTTCTTCCCACCCCTCCCCCAAAATACAGAATTAATCCAAAAAAGGCATAAAATTAACAAAAAGAGAGGGGCAAATACAGAAATAATTGGAAGGTTGTATAGTAAACTTAACTGTTATCAATAATCACATTAAATATAAATGGTTTAACATTTCAATCCAAAGACACATAATGTTAGATTGCATAATAAAACAACATACAACTATATGCTTCTTACAAGAAACCTGGTTTAAATATAAAGAAAGAAATAGGTTAAATGTAAAAGGATGCAAAATATATACTCTGAACACAGTAATGTAAAAAAATATGAAGTCTGTATATTAATATCACACAATGTATGCACCTTAGTGTCCTGGGGCTATTATAACAATATATCCACAAACTGGGTTACTTATAAGAACAGAAATCTATTGTTTCATAATTCTACAGGCCAGAAGTCGAAATCAGATTAACAGCTGTGTTGATTCCTTCTGAGGGCTCTGAGAAAGAAAATGCCCGCTGGCTTTCCCCTAGCTTCTGGTGGCTCCCAGAAATTCTTGTTGCCCCTTCACTTACATCTGCCATCCTTCTTCTAACTCTCTGGGACTGTTCTCCTCTTTATAAGATAAGATTCAAAGAAGACATTCAGGTGGCTAACAGACACATGAAGAAATGCTCACGATCATTAACCATTAGAGAAATGGAAATCAAAACTACAATGAGATAACGTCTCACCCAGCAAGGCTAGCATTAATCGAAAAAACACAAAATAATAACTGCTGGAGAGGTTGTGGAGAGACTGGAACACTTATACACTGTTGGTGGGAATGTAAAATGGTACAACCACTTTGGAAATCAATTTGGTGCTTCCTTAAAAAGCTAGAAATAGAAGTACCATACGATCCAGCAATCCAGCTCCTGGGATATATCCTAGAGAAATAAGAGCCATCACACGAATAGCTATTTGCACACCCATGTTCATTGTGGCACTGTTCATGATAGCAAAAAGATGGAAATAACCTAGGTGCCCATCATCAGATGAATGGATAAACAAATTATGGTATCTTCACACTATGGAATGCTACGCAACTATAAAGAACAATCATGAATCCGTAAAACATAACAAGGAGGAATCTGGAAGGCATTATGCTGAGTGAATTTAGTCAGTCACAAAAGGACAAATATGGTATAAAACCATTATTATAAGAACTCAAGAAAAGGTTGAACACAGAAGACAACATTCTTTGATGGTTACAAGGGTGGGGAGGGAGGGTGAGGGTTATTCACTAACTAGATGGTAGACAAAAATTATCTTTTCAGGTGAAGGGAGGGACAGCACACACTACAGGGGAAGTTAGCACAACTGGACTAAACCAAAGCTAAGAAGTTTCCAGAATACAGTCAAACACTTGGAGGGACAGAGTAGCAGGGGAGGGTGTCTGGGGACCATGCTTTCAGGGTCATCTAGGTCAATTGGCATAACAAAGTTTATTAAGAAAATGTTCAGCATCCTACTTTGGTGGGTGGCATCTGGGGTGTTAAAAGCTAGTGAGCAGCCATCTAAGATGCATCAGTTTGTCCCAACCATCTGGAGTAAAGGAGAATGAAGAACACCAAAGTCACAAGCAAAGTGTTAGCCCAAGAGACAGAAAGGGCCACATAAACCAGAGACTTCATCAGCCTGAGACCAGAAGACCTAGATGGTGCCCAGCTACTACCAATGACTGCCCTGCAAGGGAACACAATGGAGTCCCTGATGGAGCAGGAGAAAAAGTGGGGTGCAGAACTCAAATTCTAATAAAAAGACCAGACTTAATGGTCTGAGACTGGAGCAACCCCAGAAAGCATGGAGTTCAAAACAGCCGGTACTGGTCACCCCAGAACTAAAACCATTCCCGAGGCCAACTCTTCAGACAAAGATTAGACTGGACTATGGGACATAAAATGATACTCCTGAAGAGTGTGCTTCTTAGCTCAAGTAGATACATGAGACTAAATGGGCAGCTCCTGTCTGGAGGTGAGATGAGAAGGCAGAGAGGGTTAGGAGCTGGTTGAATGGACACGGGAAATCAGGGGTGGAAAGGAAGAGTGCCCTGTCACAGTATAGGGAGAGCAATTAGGGTCACATAACAATGTATGTATACATTTTTGTATGAGAGACTAACTTGAATTGTAAACTTTCACTTAGAGTACAATAATAAAATAAGAAGAAAATTAATGCTATGTGCCTCAGCCTTATCATCAGCAGAAAAATATAGTAAGAGGCTCTACCTTGTAGAGTGATGAGTCAAATAAGACAATATGTCCAGAGATTAAACAATATATCCAGAGATATATAGAAATAGTTGTCATGGATTGAATTGTGTCCCCAAAAAATGTGTGTATCAATTTGGCTAGGCCATGATTCCTAGTATTGTGTGATTGTCCACCATTTTGTCATCTGATGTGATTTTCCTATGCATTGTAAATCCTATCACTATGATGTTAATGAGATGGATTAGTGGCAGTCATGTTGCTGAGATCTATAAGATTAGATTGTTTCTTAAGCCAATCTCTTTTGAGATATAAAAGAGAAAATAGAGCAGAGAGGCATTGGGACCACATACCACCAAGAAAGTAGTGCCGGGAGCAGATTACATCCTTTGGACCTGAGATTCCTGCATGGAGAAGCTCCTAGACCAGGGGAAGACTGATGACAAGCACTTTCCTCCAGAATCGACAGAGAGAGAAAGCCTTCTCCTGGAGCTGGTGCCCTAAATTTGGACTTTTAGCCTCCTAGACTATGAGAGAATAAATTTCTCTTTGTTAAGGCCATCCACTTGTGGTATTTCTGTTATAGCAGCACTAGATAACTAAGACAATAGTCCAGCAACTAGTTTGTGCTATGGAAGTGTTTGTATTATTACACTGCTTGATCACACACTGTGCAAATTTTTTTTCTACAAAGTTTGTAAATAAGGGAGAAAATTATAATTCTTCTGAAAGCATAAGTTTTCTCAAAGTACTTACTTTATTAAATTGTTCATGGCATCTGGGTCGTATGCAGTAACCTGCCCAATGATGCTGCCTTCCTTTACATCTTCATCTACTTCTATCAAGTAAGACACTTTGCTGAACACAGGAGGCTCATCTACATCTTCCACAGATATTTTGACCACCGCTGTATCTTTGAAAGGTCCCAGGTGTAAGAATCGTGGATCAAGGTGAGTGTTGCTTGCATCCACTCTTAAAGTGTACAGGATTTTGGTTTCAAAATCTAAATTCTGGAGTTCATTAAATAATAAAAATTAAAATAATGTAGAAAATATCAATGCAACACAATTTCAAAATTTAATAACTAGCTCTCTTGATGGTAACAACAATTATGGTTAAATAACTTTCTCAATCATTGCTTCTTTAGTATGTCAAATAAATTAGTAAACATTTGTTTTGCCTTACAATTATTTATAGGGAGTTAACTAAGTATATTGGTATACACATTATGATTGATTCCCATTTAGTAATGAATGTACTTCAGTTTTTAAGTGGTAAAAGGTAAATTATTATTTAATGGATATATAAATTAAGTATTATTATTAAAGTTAGACACAGTGACAGTTTAGAGGAAGGATAAAATAAAGAGATCTAGCAACCTATTCATATAAGTTCCTTACTCCTTCTTTTCTAAAATTGGTATTTTAAAAATAAAAAAGATTTAGAGTTCATTATTCTGAGCATTTGTGGAAAGTAAGGGGTGAATGAAATGACAGAACCAGGGCAATATAAAATAATGAATATTTTGCTGGATTATTCTATGTAAAGTTTCTGAATGTTCTCTCCCACTGCATCAAACACAAAAACAAAACACATAAAGCACATAGCATCTTCATGTTTCATCTGTTTAAAAAGACCATCACATTTATAATTAAAATATTTTTAAAATTGCATGAAATAACAGTGATGGCAACATGACTACTTTTTCTCCCGTGGAGGAATACAAACAAATATTTTTGAATTTAGGTATTCCTATACCTGTACCATCTGCACAGGAAGTTGAGGTTTTATATCACTTTATAAGTGTCAGTGATAAAGATGCTTAACTTATTGAATTGACCTCACAACAACTATCCCCAGGAATATGAAGGATAGACAGTATGTAAAGGACAGGTAAAATAAATCCTAGGCTTTCTTCTCTTAATTGAAAAGCAAAAATAAACTTCAGAGGGCTAAATGAAAAAATGAAGACAGTGAAAACAAACCTGTTTGACAGTTATAACCCCTTCCTGTGTATCCTTGTCGGTGATGACGTCGAACATATCTGCTCCGTCTCCTTCAGCAATGCTGTATTCCACCTCAGCATTTTCCCCCACATCAGGGTCACTGGCTTTTATTCTTCCAAGATGGGTTCCAAGAGGTACAGACTCGGGAGAATTAAATTGATATGTACCTATAAATTAAATCAGAGCTGTTTTAACTTTTCATCTTTAGATAACAAAAATCATTTCCTCTGCCTTTTTCACTTAAATAAATTTACTTAAAACTGGGAGAGTTTTTTCATCGTATTGAAATGTAACCTGTCAAAAATTATAGATCTATTAAATTGGAAAAATACCTTATAAAGGCAGAACACTCTCATTTTGTAAATGAGAAATATAACTCCCAGAAAGATAAATTGAATATGCCAAGGTTATTTAGATAATAGATGGTAGATCTGATATTAGAATCCAGAACTTTTGACTTAAATGGACAAGAAAACCAATTATTTATTGCTTATTTGGGGATTTCAAATTTGCCATTACATATTTTTACTAATATTAAATTATCTAAAAGAACATGCATTTACTATTCTGCATCAGGTGTAGAAATTTTAAAGAAGGAAAGACAAAATTCTTTCTTTAAAGGAACAAGAAAACCAACTATTGTTTTCTTGTTGTGCATGGAACATATATGTATATATACACACACACATACAGATGGATATTTATATACATAAATGTATATAAATCTTCTCTTTTTTGCTTTTTTTAATATTAATTACTTTAATTAAGGCATGGCTTCTTCTGTTTTCTGGTGGTCCAGCCATTTATTATATTAATACTGCTGTCATAAAACTATTTGCTCAAGAAACAATATGGACAATAATACAAAAAAAGTTAATAAAAGTCAGAAATATTTTTAAATGCTTACTGTGTGCTGAGCCCCATACAAGGCCTCAAGTATTTTGTACTAATTTATTTAATCCTGTCAATTATTCAAGATTAGTGTAATATCCTGAGGGGCAAGGCTCAAGGAAATCCTGCAGTCTTGAGAAAAGTAAAATAGAAAACTAAGGCCTTCTGACTTCGGAGTCTATTCTCTTTCCAATTTTCTTGGTGATTAAAAATAGGGGATTTATAAATCCTACTGTCTGGTGGTGCAGTGGTTAAAAATTACAGCTGCTAACCAATGGATCGGCTGTTGGAATCCACCAGCTGTTCCTTGGAAACCCTATGGGGCAGTTCTACTCTGTCCTACAGGGTTGCTATGAGTCAGCATCAACTCAGTGGCAACAGGTTTGCTTTTTTTGTTTGTCTGAGTTTAAATTCTCACTACTGGGCAAGTTAGTAAAATCTTTATTCCTACTCATAGTAACCCTATAGTCAGAATTGAAGTTATAGCCTCTAATTTTTTATTTCTTCATTGATAAAATAAGGGTAAACAATAGTAATTAACTCAGGTTTTATTTATTTACTTTTTATGAGGATTGTGTAGGATTATGTCTATAATATTCATACTTAGCCAAGTGTACTCTTATTGAGAATCTTTATTATTATTATGGCTTCAAACCTTTTGCTAAGATTATAATACAGCACAGAATTACAGAGTTGCAAGTCATTTGAGAATTCTTTAAATTATATTCTTTCAGCTTTTATTTCAGGAAACTAAATCCAAAATTTAAGGTTAAGTTATTTAGACTGATTAATCATTTTCCCAGCCAAGTCTTTTTGTTTAACATTTTAATATGAATATATCCACCAAGCGAAGTTGTATCATCAAATATTTCAAATTTGTTTAGCTTGGAAAAATACTTTATTCTATTGGAATTAATATCATAAATTTCAATATGAGATTCTTTACTTGAACTTTTAAGGTAGAGTCGTTTATACGTTTATCTACTGCAGAATAGAAGCACTTTCACAGAAATTGGGATCTGTTTTTGTAGGACCTCATGGAAGGCAAAGCATCCACGGCTAAAATGATGATGATGGAAAGGGTATTATCTGTCTTAGTCTTTACAATTTGATTACATAGATTACACCACACTTCATTATATTTAAGACATCATCACATCTGAGGTATACCATGACTATGGGCCAGTAAAAAAAGGGGGGGGGCGAAGCTGCCAATTAAAATGATCAGCATTGATTTTAATATACTATCTGATTTCAGAGGTGTTAAAACATCAGCGAGTCTTTGTTTTAGAATCAATGAAATAGGAGTTAAATAATTCTTATGTACAGAACAGATAACTGAGGTAAGACAAGTGTCAGACACAAATTTGAATTTAGACATTTGGACTTCAGAGCCCACGCTCCTAGCCAGGGAAGAGAAGAGAAAGGATAGGATAATCAGAGTGAAGACTGGGAAAGATATTCCGAAAACGTAGTTTATAACTCCTCAAAGGTAGAAGAGGATAGTTAAGGTTGCCAAGGGATCTCATATTCTTATTTTCTCCTACTACCAATTCAAAAATGTACAGATTAATCATCGCCATTTTCAACTTTCACGAAGTGTTTTTTTTTTTTTTTTCTTTTTTTGGTAGATTTGCCTTTTATGTTTTCCCCTGAGCACAGCAGTGAAAAACCCAAAAAACCAAACCCGCTGCTGTCATGTCGATTCCGACTCATACCACCCCTATAGGACAGGGTAGAACTGCCCCATAGGGTTTCCAAGGAGCACCTGGTGGATTCGAACTACCAGCCTTTTCATTAGCAGCCGTAATTCTTAACCACTAAGCCACCAGGGTTTCCACAGCAGTGAAACGACTCAATAAATATCAGATCTCTTAGTAGCTTTGGAGAAGCTTTTCAGTATGAATCACTGAAACCTTCCTTACTCTGAGGGAATCGGGGAGGATTGTTGTTGACGTCGGTCAGGGTGATGTTCACTGTCGTGGTTCCAGAAAGGCCTCCCATCTGGCCGCCCATGTCTTTGGCCTGTATAACCACCTGGTACTGCTCTCTGTTTTCTCTACTCATGTCTGGTAATGCAGTTTTTATTACGCCTTTTGGAGAAAGAAGACAGATGTTTTGCTATTTATTCCCTGAATTTGTTTAAGCTATGCAAGATCCATTTTACAGAAGTTAATCATAACAAACAGATAAATGTTGGTGTACCATGACAAATCTAGCATAACTCATAAAAAAGAAATAATTCTACCATAACTATTGTTCAAGGAATAGGTTTTGCTAAATCAGAGTAATTATCATTTTGATACAAAATCAAATCTTCAGTTAAAAATCATTTAGACAAATAAGTTGTCTTAAATGAGATGATTTCATACTGTAGGTTTTAAGTGTTCACTGTGCCACATAATGTGGTGCATAAAGTTCTGTGAAATTTGAAATTTTTGATTTAGTGTTTTAAATCCAAACTTAATAAACAGTAGGCTAAAGAGCTAACAATTTAAATAATCTATTTAAATAATAGAAAGTTTGCTTTTGTTTCCATGGAATAGCTTTAGGTAACAAATTGAAACTTCATACTAAATTGATAGATTGTAAAATATAGAAAAGATCTATAGGGATCCCGATGTAGTACAGACCAAGTGTAAAATGTTCTTACCTGATTCTGGGTCCACTGAAAAATATGGCTGTCCTTGCAAGATGCTATAGACCACTTTGGCACTATTTCCGTAGTTGGCATCATCTGCATCTGTTGCAGTCACTTGTATAACAGATGTACCTATGTGAAGCCCCACCCAAACACAGACACTTAAACAAGTCTAAATTTGCAACTCTCTTGCTGAAAATAGTGTTAGTAGTGTGATAAGTTAGAAAATGGTATATAATATTCAAAGAAACTTAAATGATCTCATCCTAAAAAATTACCTTTATCCAGCCCCCCCCCTTTTTTAATTTGAACATCCCTCTATTGTTGGAGTTAATTTTTAAAAAAATGGAAAAAATCCGAAGACTATTTCATGAATATAATGAGGTGAATATAATGAGACTAATGGACTGCATTTTTAACTGACTGGAAATATCATGAGGGCCAGAAATTTTCCACTGAATAAAATGCATATGTAACTTTCAATTAATACAACTATTGCTAATTAGGAAGATATATTTTAAAAAGGTATTATAACCCTTTTGATGGTTTTTACTTAGATAAATTAAGTGTACTGTAAATTGAATGAAATACAAAGCTGATTTTTTGAAAAAAAAATTACATAAAATTGACCTGTGAAATATTTTCATGTACAAGATATATCTGATAATGAAACATCTGTGCCTTTCTTTAAAATGTAGATTACATAGTCAGATATGATTATGCCTATTGATATGCTGCATATTATTAGTTATTTTCTGTGCATAAGTAAATCAGTAGATATTTTAAAAAGATAAAGAACGATTCTGTGTCACATGCAATACTGTAATTTAACATTACCCTTTGTTTATAATTTTATTTTATGAAATTTAATTTATTTTATTTTCACTATTACAAACCATCATTTAAAAAGTAATAAAGCTTGAAAGGAGCCAGTTTTAGGAGCTAAAAATAATGAAATATATTGATGGACTTTTTCTTATGTTCTCCTGGGTCTCTATAAAGATTCAAGGAATGGTTCTAAAACTACTGTCAATTGAAGCCTATCGTGTATCCCCTTGGGAAAAATAAGTTTGTGGGACAGTTTCAAGTGTCTTACTTACAATTTTTCTCCAGTTTGCCTCCTACTTAGAATTTTAAAATTCTTGAGGACAGGGACAATTCCCGATTGGTCCTGTCACCTACTTTAAAGTCCCACAAAAATTACATACTCCAAAAAAAAAACAAACTTTCTAATTGAGCTTTAGTGAATGCTTCTGAAATTTTGTGAGTTTATGCTTACAAAAATTAATATACTGTACATTATAGCAAACAAATTGTTTCCCATTAGTACATTTCAATATGAGCCCATGAATTTAGCAACAGGTATGAATATGAACACATGAGTTTAGCAATTTGTATATTTGAATAAATACATATTCAAAAATATATCAAAATATGATGAGATGAAGCTCTTCTTTTTGAGGCCTCTGTTTCCTAAACTTCAGGGGAGTGGATGTGCCATGTGAGATGACATACTACATAATTTCTCAGTCTATCCTGGCTGTAATATTTGATCATTTAAAAATATTGTACTCATGTTGCAGATAGATAAAAGCAAAAGTGATTAAGTGATTTTTTCCCCATAATAATGCTAAGCAGTTCAACTAAAGGAATTTTCTGATTTACATTCGATTTATATTTTATAAAACCCTGTATAAATATATGTTAGGTAGACTAAGAATTGTTTTCACATCTGGAGATATTAGCGAAATACGAATTATTGAGCATAAATAATATGTTGAAAATGTAGTCGTTAATTAAAAAAAAAATGGCGTTTCTTTTGTTACCAGTTTCATTTTTTCTTTTACTGTGGTATAATATTAAGCTTTCACAATGAGCACAGGAAGTAACGTATCTCTGCATCTTTTTGACCCTTTTTAATACAATTATTTTGTTAAATGTCATTTTGATTTTTTGCTCTATATTGTGTGTATGTGCTCTTTGAATTTATCCAAAAATACTTAAACTAAATAGTAAGGAAGTTATTTTCTAAAGTTATATTTGTAAGTTATATTCTGAATAGCAAACAGCACTGATGTGACTAAATAGCCTCAAACACCTTGTACACTACCCGTCCCACCTCTCAGGATCACTGTAATAATTACAGATGCTGCTAAACACAGATACACAAAATGACTTCTGATGTTTTATTTATAATAACAAAGGGAAATAATAATCTATTGGACAATAGGGAATGGAAAGTTAATTTGTGTATGTGGGTGTGCTTTCTCAGAAATTATTACACAACTAACATGTTTTAGTAATAATACTGGATAAGAAGTAATTTATGTATTTTACATTATAATGTTTATAAAGACATATTCAAAGTGAATACACTTATGTGTAACCTGTGAAAAATTACCTAGGGTTTTCCAGTAGTGGTAAGGAACTGGATAACTTTTTGAAGGAATATTTAAGAGAAAAACACGATCAATCAAAAAGCATACTTTCAAAACCACATTTACACAATGAAAATTTGTTCAAATGAAATTGAATGCATGCAAATATAGAAAGCTGATGGAAATAATCTTTATTCAATAATATAATGACCACAAGAAATGGAAAATAAAAATGTAGGGACCTGGAACAAACATTTTTACTAAAGTATATTCCATTTTACTTCAATATGTACACTTGTATGTCATCAAGATTATTTGCTCTGATCAGTAGATGCTATTGGTTTCAGATTTCAAGAGTTTATTGGAGTTGACATACCATTCTGAAAGCCAAAACTGAATATGGTATATGGTTGTGACAGAAAGAAACAGAGCTGGAGGGAAAAAAACCTAAGGAAAGGAGTTGATGAAAGAGAAACATAGAAGACAAATATGTTAAGACATGAAAATGAACACGAAGGGGGCGAGTAGCAGAGGGTGACATTAATGTGGAACATTGGAGGGTAGCTTTGGAAAGAAGGGGATTGTAATAAAAGACATTTTACTGTATTCCATTAGATTTCTGTTTTCCCCAAAGTTAACTAGGGGCAGTTTTCAACTCTTTGATTTAAATGAAAATCACTAATATAATGAAAATAATATTGGTATTCAATCATTGCACATTACTTCATTTATAGATGATGCATATTTTATTTTTTCATAATGCATGGACTTTACTTATAAATATATGAATCATAAACAGCCTGAAAAAAAAAATTCCTACAGTTTTCCTATGTAAAATGGTTTATTTGAATAGGTAAAAGCAGCAAAAATCGTATCATCAAAAATTATGAGTTAATTTTTTATTTCCCTCTAAATAAGATAGGAGAGTTACAATGAAAGAGCAGAAGTATTTTGGGATATAAAACACATCTATTTTTTTAATTTAGATATATTTATTAGTGGCTCTATGTGTACTTCTCAAATCTTTATTTATTATTTCCGAAAGCTGGCAATCCGAGCCAGACAGCTGACTTCAATATTTTTATTAGTTTTGTTGGAATTCTAGACATGGAAGAGACTGCAAACATCAAAATTAATAAAGGGGAAAACTATAGATTACCTGAGGTTAAATATCCATATTGTCTAATAGAACAAGATTATGTTTTTAAAAAGAGATAATGCTTTGAAAATTGCAAAAATATACTCAAATTAAAACAAATTATAAGCAAAATTTCTCATAAATATTTCTGTAATCTTAATTGTGCCTTTTCCTCCTATAGGTATGTCTATTCTTTCTGCAGAAAGGTAAGTGAAAATGTACTTGCTGACAGGTGTCAAAACCGCAAGTAAAGTAAAATACATACAAGAAAAACGTAATGTTTTACAAAGGTTACAAGTGTTAACCAGACAACCAAACTACTCAGAATGCTCATTTATAGAAAGCTGATGTGGAGAGTATAATTTGAGATGTAGCATCATCTCAAATATAAGCCAGTCAAGAGCTCATGATATATATCTAAATTGGCCCACAATAGAATTATATGAATCAATTCAGTACTTTCCATGAAACTGTAAAAGGCTAAGAGTCATAAAAAAAATAATGAAAACAGATCCACTCATGTTTTATCCCGGCGCTTTATTATTCCACAGGACTCCTGTCTGATTTCATAAGTCACTTTCACATTATTGGACTGAATACGTGAAATAGTGGAAGAACTGTGCTTTCCTCTGAGAGATAAGATTTCACATTAGGTTTAGTGGGAAGAACACATTCCTTACAATCTCTTGGTCCTTCAGACTTGAAAGCTCACGCAGCTGAGAAATCTCTTTACATTAATAACTTGGTAAACGTAGATGTAAGTTTGATTCTCCTAATACAAGCATTATTTTAGACTGAAACATAGTAACTATGATAATGTTGAAATCATATACTTAAAAGTGTTTTTGAAATTATATTAAACTAGATTGTATCAGATTTGGGAAACTGGGTTCATATTTTGGATATTATGTTGTGGTTATTATTGTGTGTCGTCCAATCCATTTCAATTTATATCGACCCTATAGGACAGAGTAAAACTGCCCCCATAGGTTTTCTAAGGCTGTATTTTTACAAAAGCAGACTGCCACATCTTTCTCCTGCAGACCTGCTGTTGGGTTCGAACCATCGACCTTTCATTTAGCAGCTGAGCACTTAACCACTGTGCCACTAGGGCTCTTTGGATGTTGTGGTAAGTTTATATTTTAAAGAGTCAGCTTTTATTATCTTATTAATAAATCTGAGCCTTTCATATTAGTAAAGATGAAGGTAATCACACAGATGAAAACATTGAATGAAAATAAGTGGTATATAAAAATGCGGGCAGCCTTAAAAAGTTAAACAGTTACTTTCAATTTGCATGAAAATCTCAGTGTTCAATAGTGAAATGTGCTATAATAACATGAAAGACCTGGAATCTTGTCCTAATGCAACCAGGTTATTTGATCTTAATTCACTTGCTTAATCTTTCTGAACCTTGGTTTCTTAATTAACAGAATAGGGATTTAAAGTTCTGTCTCCAATACTTAACATGTAAGGTTGTTATAATGATCAAATGAGACAGTATTTCAAAGGAAATTTGTCAAATGCAAGCATTCGTTATTATTCAAAATAATGCAACAAAAATTTCCAAAAATGCTAACAGTGTTTGCATATTCCTTTCATTTCAGGCAGAAATATATTCAATTTGACTGCCATTTGTATGCAGTGGAGTAGAGGTGAGGCTGTTGATTGTAATGTAATGGAATAACTGCTCTCAGCAATCATCTTAGATATCAGTTAAAATATAGCAAGTTGCATTAAGATACATGGAATTGAAAATAATTAAAAATAAGTTGCATAACACTAAAGAGTGGTTTCCATTTATAGCTCTTACCTTGAAAGAGAGCACATATCATAACTATATCCATTTTAATTACTTAGGCAGACACAGAAATAAGTTTGCTTAAATGGATTAGCATATACCTACCAACTCCAGACATTTCAGGAACACTGGCAGTGTATAAGTCTTTGGTGAATTTTGGTTCATTATCATTGATATCATGGATTTTAATGATAAATTCAGATTCAGGTTCCACCTGCCGCCCGGTCTTTCTGTCTATAGCCTTGGCACGAAGAATGTATAGGGATTTTTCTTCTCTGTCTAATTTCTTTGCAGCATGAATATCTCCCGTGTTTTCATCTATAACGAACAGACTGCCAGCCCCATCTCCTGTTAAAATGTATTTTAAATTTCCATCTCCTTTGTCTTGGTCAGTGTGAAGCTTCAGAGAGGTAGAAAAGAAGAGTTGTGTAAATATATGCATTGTAATTACAGAAACAAATGTTGATAGATACCAGTTTGTCTCCACATAGCATCACAGAAACAATCTCAATGGTTACCTTAATTTTCACTGAAGAGAAACCAACCATTTCAGTTTTGATTGTACTAAAAAAAACTTTAAGCAATTATATTTATACATTATAAGCGATTAGATTTAAAATATAAGGAAAATGAAATTTTTTTCACAGTACAGTTTTGCCAGGATATTTCTAAAGAGCAAGTTACCAAGATCTAAGCCTCTAATACAATGAAAAGATAAAACCCATTGTCTTGGAACTTGTAAAAATCTTGATAAAAACTAGATTACTTTTAAAATCACTAAACTTAAAGACATAAGGAGCTTTCAAACTCATTATTTCGGCAAGTTTAGGATGTGTGTGTTAGTTATACACGAATTTTACTTCACCTCCACATCCCCCCAAACCCTGCGGCGTAACAGATTTTACCAGCACAGGCTTTGTCCTCAGAGAAACCAGTGTTTGAAACTATTTTTTATTCTCTATATGGTCATGAAAGAGTACTTAATCCTTTACATAATAAAGTTCTCATTTTAGAAATTGACTTATGAGCTTATTGTATATTTCAAGGCATATAAAACATAGAGGTTCCTCCCTCCCTCCCCAAGTGGCCATGAAAATAATTTCTTAAGAAAAATATTAGAATTTTTTTCATAAATTATCTTTCCTTATTTCATATATCCCAATCTGTAAAATTAGTTATTAAAGTAGAAAGATGATCTTTGAGTATTTAAACTAGACAGATGAACTATGTAGTCATAAATAGCTTGAATTGGAATAAATCTTAAAGTTTTTGCAATTCAAATATTATTCTGAAACTTGATTCTTAACTAGACTCTTCTCACCTGGTTGTCTTCTATTATATACTCGACAATTCCTTTGATGGTCCTGGCTCCACTTCTTTCTGAGTTGTGTCCCATCCCATCTTTGAATTATTTGACTATCTCAATGTTCTTCTTTTTTATGGTAGCCAATTTAGAAATCCACATTTCACATTTTAACCTTCCTTCACTTTTGAACCCAACATCAAAATAATCATCAAAATAGCCTTTTCTTCTGTGAAATATATTCCCCACCCATCTACCTATCTCCATCCCTATGGCTACCACTCTGCTGTCCTGCATCATATCATATCTGAGCCACTGTAGAAATGTAGAAATGCCCTGACGCCTGCATCCACTCTTGCTCTATTTCAAACACTGAAGAGAATAATTGTTCTGCTACACAAATCTGGTCATATTACTTCCTAGCTTAAAAATATTTATTAAAATACAGGGTTTGTATCATGCAACTCGCTGTGTTACATTGTTGTTGTTAACGTTAGGTGCTGTCAGGTTGGTTCCGACTCATACCGACCCTACAAGACAGAGCAGAACTGCCCCATAGGGTTTCAAGAGCAGCTGGTGGATTCGAACCGCGTACCTTTTAGTTAGCAGCCGGACTCTTAAATCACTACGCCACCAGGACTTCTCACGTTAACTTGGGCAACGTTATTTGTTTTTCTAAGCCTCTTTTATAAAAATGGAATAATACAACACACAAACAAACAAAAAATTTACATTTATCATATGGTTACAGAAATTTTGAATTGGAAGAAATCTTATAACAGACATCTAATTGCTAGAAGGAAGGCACAGAAATGCTATAGCCTTATTTTTAAGTACCTGATAATCTCACTGATCTCCAGACGCATTTCTGCCTGCTTTGCCCCTTTACTTGCATTCTATACATATCAATTGCTTTGCTTTGTTATGTTTTATTTTTTCTTCATTTCTCAAAAGGCCTGTTCCCGCTCTAATTTCTGACGTTTGCATACGCTTCGCTCACCCTTTAACACTCTTCTTTCTTCTCTGCATTTCCTTTGAACTAAATAGTGTTTAGTTATCATATTACATTTTTAAGTTTCACCCTCAGGGACACCTTTCCTGACTCTCCAGATTAGGGTAGATGTGCCTGCAATATAATTCATAGCACACTTCACTTCCCTCTCAATACTCATGACATTGTGTGTAATTGTTTACCATCCCCACTAAACTGTAAAACATAAGAGAAAGACTGACATTTTTTCTAATGAATTCCTAGAATCTCAATATATATTTTACTTAAAAGATCACGTTTCTTCTTTTTTAACAGTATCTTTTTACATATATGCAGCTTATTTGTCATTATTAGAAAAATAATATCATAAAATAGAACTTTTTTAGTTAAAATGCATATCAGACATTTATATATGCAAATAATACTCTTTTAATGAATGCATTAAAAAATTTTCAAACAATATTATAATGCATATTTGTGTACATGTATTCTTGCATTGCTGGTATTCTTATTCCAAGAGAAGAGAAAGAAAAGATGTTTTTGATGAAATAAAATTAGGAAAAAATGAAAAAGATAGATATGTAGATAGTGATATGTGTTAGAGACTGTATTTGATTTATAAAAATTGTAAAACAATTGACATATTCGTCTTATTGGATTTGGTTAGGCTAATTAGTGAACAATGGAATCATATGCAGCCACTAAAATTGTGGCTTGCCCATATACCAAAAACCAAAAAACCAAACCCGTTGCTGTGGAATTACCTATATAGTTTGACGTAATCTTTGACTAAAGTACATACTTTTAAGTAAGATATTCATATGAAAACACAGCTTATAAAAAATAATTATATCTTTTTATGTCTTTATTTTTCATAAAACTACTCTCAACAGATATATGATGTTGAAGCAGCTATTTATGTTTTTTTATTTATTTTTCCACAATTTTAGCTAATAGATGTTTTATACATTCTTCTGAATGAACTAGTATTAATTTCTCAATGAAATGGGAAAAAATAATCAAAAGAGTTGGTAACAAAAATTGAAGTAATTAAAGTATGAAGTGTCTTCCCTCAAATTATACTGTACTCTTCTCACATTTATACATTCAGGAAAACAAAACAATACAAACAAAGAAACATGATTGTCAATATTGTCAAATAAATTTTTCAGACTGAGAAAATGGAAATCCACAGGTGTAACTGCCTTTTACTAATAACTCTGGAAGAATAAGTGCTATCTGACAAACAATCCATTATGTAAAGGGATCGCAAAACTATGCTTATTTTATAGGAAATATTAATAAGTAAATAAAATATAAAATGATGTGTTAATCAAAAATAGAAAAAAATCCGTATTGTTACTTGAATTTCATAGGAAAATTTACATACATGTACACAACTTAAAATTATTTTCCATGTATTTAACATAATTGTAATAATATAGTAATAAAACATGTTGCTATTCCTTTATTTTTTTGCCATTAAGAAATGTTTTATTTTACATTTTATGTTGATTTATTAAAATGTGCAGGGAACCAAATCTATATCTCTCACACTTTATTAGATATGATACTACAGTTTAATTAGATAAGTATTCAAAAAACTATGAAAACAATCCACTTTTCAAGTGTTTTATTCTCATTCAGAACATTTGTTGTTGTTTTTGTTGGTTCTCTGCAGTCTGACTTTGCTATCTAGATTTGAGTTTTGTTTATCTTGCTTGGAATGCACTGACATTCTTAGATTAGTGGGTTGTTTGTCACCAAATTTTTTAAAAAGACAAACTTACTTTTTCGTTTCAAATTACTTTTGTGTCCTCTGTAGCTCTCCTATTGGTAACTAAATACAAGTATGTTGTTATTGTTAGCTGCCATCAAGTCGCCTCCAGCTCATGGAAACCTCGTGTACAACAGAAGGAAACACTGGCTCTGTGTCATCTTTACTGTTGTGGGTATGCTTCGAGTCCATTGTTGTGGACACTGAGTATTTTGAGTGTCTTCCAAACTGGGGCTCATCTTCCAGCATTATACCAGACAATATTCTGTTGTGATCTATAGGGTTTTCATGGGCTAACTATCAGAAGTAGATAAACCGACCTTTCTTCCTAGTCTTAGTCCAGAAGTCCCATGAAATCCTGTCCACCATGGGTGACCCTGCTAGTATTTGAAATTCCAGTGCCATAGATTCCCGCATCATAGCAACACACAAGGCAACGCAGTATGACAAACTGACAGACAAGTGGTGGTCAAAATATTCAGGAGTCTGGAAAAATATTTAGCCAAACATGATAGTAATCATAGCCACTACATTTTCTCTGAATGCTTTCTATGATCAATTTCTTTAGAAAATCTGAATGAAAATTCAGTATATTTTAAAATTATGCTACTTGGACTGAAGATGATTTCCAAACAGAAATTAAGATATTTTAGCAAATGACAGGATATGCAGAATAAATATATTGCATGAAAATAATGAATTTTAGTTATAAAATAAAATATTTACAAAATTTTAAAATATTATTTCAGTCATTGTAATCTTGAATTTACATTATTTAATTCCCATCTTCTCTAATTCCTGCCACCTATTTTAACTATACTCTTTATTCTGTTAATTTCTAATGTCGTTTTAAAATAATTATCTTACACACAATCACACACATTTTAAAAGGATGTCTTTTCATTTTAAGAATGAAACTCCCAATAGTTATTGTCTGATGCAATCTAACAATAAAAAAATATTATATTAAAATATCAAATTGCTGTATCATGCTCATTATTGATTTTGAATCATACTTATAGAACTGTAAAAAAATGGCATAATCTATTATAGAATAAGCTAAGTAAAATAAGAATCTTTTGCATGAAATCAAAATTCACAGATTTTTCAAGTAATCAGATAAAATGAAGTAGAAATCTTAAGAGTATGTTTTTATTAATTACGGAATAAAGCCCACACAAAGTGCTTTGGGAATACCAGTACCAATGTACAATTACTTCTTTTAGATCTCAACGAATCACTTAGTTTTCTCTTGTCACACTGAAAATAACTTACTTGCTTCTTCTAAACTTGAGTAAATATTCACAGAAGTACAATGATTTTTAGATG